AATGTCCCCCCTTTGGGAGTGGCCTAAAGACACTACAGTCAGTAGCACTGCCCCGGGAGGGGGGGTGGGGAGAGTGAGTGTGCGTGTGTGTGTATGTGTTTGTTTTGTGTGTGGTTGTGGTGAGAGAGAGATCTAGAGAGAGAGAGAGTAAATGTAATAGTGTGTTTGTATGTGTGCGTGTGTGTAATGTGTGAATGTTATTGTGTGCATGAGTGTCTATCTCAGTTTTACAGTCCAAAAGTACATTATTTCGTTGAGAATTTTATGTACCTAGAACTCAACTACAAACCACCTTTGCCTTTATACAAAGTCACATAAATATTCTTTCTGTGCTTATTGAGGTACAGTACAGACTCAATGTAATGAATATGGACTACAAAGTACAAAGGTCGGGAACAGATAAGCCTAAGAGAATACTGTTGGTTATAGTCATTGAGACGACGGACCAGCCACGTGGCTTTCCAAGCGGTCACCCACGACCATAAATTCATGCAGAATCATTCTCTACGTTCAGAGAAACATTTTCTCTTGTGATTCGTTGAACAAGTAGCCTATGTTATAAGTTCTTCGAGCGCAGCTTATTAGGCTTACTTGGCTAATCTTTAAACCTATAGAGACCTGTCTAGGGTTTGACGATGCGTTTCGCGCATCAGATCTAGATCTAACTAAACATTACAATGATTACACGCAGTAACCCAAACACCAGTCAGAAACCTTCTCTCAAAGGTACATTTCCAGTGACCAATCAAAAAACTTTTCAGTCCCCCCAATCCCCCCCCCCCTCCCCCCCACAACATTTAACCGACCAGCCCTGGACCGAGACCTGTGCGTCAGTGGAAAGTTGGGTGTGAAAACGCTGTCCATCATTCTCTTTGTCCGGCGTGAGGGGCACTCTCACCAAATATCCGGTTTTCTAGTAAATTCTAAGCTCGCCTTATGCAGGCTGTACAATTTGTGAAAATTCCCCCTCGCCAAGCTTAACTTGTCTGCGTGTTTCGCGGATCGGAGCGTGCGTTTAGAGGGAGTGACCGTGCGTTTGTACGTCTAAATTATATAGTAAAAAACCCGTCAAATGACGAAAGCGTGTGTTTGAGCGGAGCGTGCTTTTGTATGGCGTGCGCTTTGGCGGAGACTACTGTACTACTACCAAAGATTCTCTACACGATCTTTGCTACTGCTACTACTACTACTACATGTACTACTACAAGACAGTACGAGAGAGTGCCACTCAGGCAAAGATAGTGTAACTTTGACTCAGCCACGTTGTGTAAGCGCTCAGAGCCTGTTTACTTTATTCGGGGTTGAGCGCTATATAAATGTCATTTATTATTATTTACACACTTTTTATACCCCAAATTTGACCCGTAAGTCCATTCGCAGGATTTGACCTTTTCACTTGACCAAAGTGTGCCAAAATAGTAGCCTATCTTTTTCCCCTCCATGAAGGAAAAATCTGGCCCTCATTCAAACCATTGGGATTGAGCAAAATTTTGCGTATTGTGCTTTGTTCTTACAATGTTCATTATGATATGACTTATAAGTTGTACACTGAGGCAAAACTGTACTAAATGAGAAAGGTGCACCATTATGAAAGTGGAACGAACTCAGTTGCCTGAAAAGGGTAGTTTGAGCATGTGTGGCCTAAATAAGCTAAACCCCCCTCCTTTACCTTATTTAGGCCATATGTGGCCTAAATAAGCACTCCCATTTAATAAGTATACCTTAAAGAGTTAGTAGGAGACATTGGCTCTCGGACGACTCTCAACCGTAAGGTCTAGAGTTCAAATTCCGAAAGGGGCCCTCCGTCGTGTCCTCATGAAAGGCACGATTTTTTTTTACTAATTTAATTCACACAGATGGGAATAGATACTCGGCTGTAGGCATAAACAGGAAAAAGTCTTTTTTTCCCCTTGTTTTGGAGCGCGTAATCAACAGCTTGCACTGTATGCTTCCCAGAAGCCGAGAATGTTTCCGAGTCGTGTTCTTGTGGTTCGCTGAAGTAAGATTGAAGGTTGTAAAACGTACAGGTATATACTATAGGATGCTGTAGAGCATATTTATGCAGTGTGCAAGGCCTATAGGCCAATACAATGCAATTATTGTTTGGCTATTAAAATGAGCAACTGCCCTGAAGACATGGGCTAATGGAAGCCTTATCAGAGCTCTAATCATGCAAGCCCTCTCCGATCGATACCGGGAGGTGCCATTTCTGGCTCAGAGGTTGACGAGTAATAAAAAATAGTACACATGTGGAGTATTATTAGTTAGAGAATCTTTGGTGTAATAACCCGTAATTACATGTTACTTGCACAGTTGCTGTAGTAGCCGTCGTGCACTCAGTCAGATATTATGATGTTGAATGTCCATGCCAAGGTGTTACATCATATTATGCAAGTTATCGGTCCATGCTGTGCGTTGGCCACCTTATACTGCTACATGAAGTGTGTTTTTCAACTGTTCATTGTTTAGCAGGTTTTTTCTTGGGAGAATGTGACACACCACTGTTTTTGTTTGCTTTGCAGCTAATTGTGGTCATTCTGTGGTAGCACCCTTGCCCCATAGCCTAGTTGTGCTTGAAATTGGAGCGCTTGTTGAGTTCCTGGAGCTGAAAGCCGTATGAATTTCTAGTGTATAGGTACATATAAATTATATTATAATATATTATTAGGGCCTACGCACACTGTATTTAATATTATATTATTTATTATAAATAGATCTTGATCAGATGTTGTACGGCTGAAAAACAGCAGTAAGAAGAGTAAGAAGAATAGGAAAAGCATGTAGATTATATCTGTATATTAATAATTATATGTAGATGAAAAAAGAGTCAGTCGTGTAAAGGAGAGAGGACCCACGAGGCCGGGGGTGGGCTGGGGGGGAGTGGAGATGAAAGCAGATCATGACAGAACATAGAATAGAATACGAAAGGGGAACGTTTCAAGGGCAGAACATTTTTCCACCGCTGTCAGGTTTCGAACCCGGGACCTTTTGAAGGAGAGGACACATCTAAGTAAACACTTTCCTCCTCTACACAGAGCCGTGGTCGTATTGTGCAATTTCAACTGTACTGTATTCTTGGCCACCTGTTCCAAATCAACAAAGTCTTGTTTTTATAAAAAGTGGTTTGTTCGCCCCCACGGCATAATTTCGATCATACATATTAGATCTAGAGGGTTTCAGCCCTGCCTGTCAGAGCAAACCAGAAACTGAAAGCGAGAGGGATACTGTAGGTACGTCGCAACAGAAAGATCGATTGTACTAAAAAAAAAAAAAAGGTACATGTAGCCTACCTACAAAAAACCCAGCTCATCACCACAGAGGTTGAACTTCTGCGTGCAATGGCAAAACTTGTATAAAAGTTAGCGAGTTTTACAGTAACATGAAGTTATTACTACAAGTAGTACAAGTATTACATTATTAGTGTTACTGTAACATTCTCTGCTGAGTCTGTGGTGTAGAGCAGCTAAGAGAAATCAAAGTCAGGCTTAGAGGCATCATCACGAATAGAGAGTGTATAGTAGATCGTCGAGGCATGCATAGCCCCCAGACTTCTCTCACTCTTAGTAATAGTACTCTCACAGAGCCTACTGGGTAGGCAGGGCTGACTGGTGAATTGGCATTTTTGGGCAATGTTCGATGGGCCGGTGCAGCTGGACAAAGAAAAATTACCACTAACAGTGACAACTCCAGCCGTCAAATGGCCACTGTCATTCCAATAAAAATGTCTTACGTCAAATACAGTGGAATCCACTTATAACGAGTCCTGAAACAACGAGAAGTCTGTTTTATAAAGACATTATTCTAAAACCCCGTTTTTTCCCTTCTTTATCTTTGTAAATAAAATACTGCTATTGCGCAATCAGACCGTCACGCGAGTCGGTTATAGCGGAATACTGCTGCTGCTGCTGTGCACAGCGCACAGAATAATTAAACATATTAAAAAACCTTGCCAGTTGAGAAAGTTGTTGGTGATCCAGCGAAACAAAGAATGGGACAGCCCACGCGAACCAACAATGAAGACCGGAGTGAATGAATGGGGAGGGTGTGGCATGCGCAGACAAACAGAGCACATCGCGTGATAGGCCAGTCTAGATTCTAGGCATACCGTGCCTCTCCTCACTTCTCTGGTGCGGGATGGAGTGGTCACAATGCTGTGATAGATGGAGTGAATGTGTGATGTGCACAAGCAGACGCAACGCACCACAGGTTGTGGTGGGGGACAACACAGTGGGCGAGTTAGCCTAGAGCCAGAGCCCCTTCTTTCTGATCGCCAAGGCCGATTTGTCAACATTGCTAGTGCTAGAGAAAGAAACCTGATTCGATTTTTGATCAATTAAGACTAGAGAGCATGTTAAACAAATCATCATCAGGAGAAATACAAAAAGGAAGAAACAGACAAACTTATACATCAGGCCTACTTTACTATTTCCCTTGAATTTATTACTGGATCCCTTGTAACGAGAATCCTGTTATAACGGACATTTCGCACCGGTCTCCTCCCTCTCGTTATAACAGGATTCCACTGTACATCATCATCATATATATTATAACTCTCTTCGGTCAATGAACAACAGCCCAGCTCTAACATCATGTGTAGGCTACACATACATGGACAAGATTGAAGAAGGCCCCCCCCCC